GACCTAAATTATTCTGTGATTTAGTTTCCAGTTAATCATGGTTAACTGCAAGTGTCTTGAGTTTCAAGGAACAAAGACTTAAAAACTAACTGCAGTTAAGCCCTTTCCCACAGGCTGGAGGAGGATCCTTGTTTTGGCACCTTAACCAATTACCCAAAAGTGAGCATAGGCATGTTTCTGTATTGCTTGTACCCTGGGAAGTGATGCGGTGATGTATTACGACTGCAAAGGAGTTACTACACTCTGCATTAATTTAACATAGATTTTTACCTCTGTCCTGGAAGATTGGTGGAGTGGGAGTGATGTGTGAGAGACGGTTAAAGTGCTCAAGCATATAACTGAAATGACAATTTCTCCTGAGAATAGCTGACTAATTTACAGCAGGACAATACACCTTTATTAACCAAAAATGGTGCCAAGCTAAGCCTGGTTGGTTTTTTTTTTCCTTCAAGTTAAGCTTAAATGACCTTAAATCATTTTCATGCTTGCTGATACAAGGATGTCTTTAACTGGCTTAAGTAAACTTGTTTTAAAGTGATCAATTGTAGTGATCTGTAACCATTACTGAGACCTTACTAACTTACTAACATCAGGTAATATCTTTCAAAAGAAGAAAAGGGACCCAGGTTCACATGCGGGGGGTTTTTTTTCCCTTGTGTTCCCACAGTTAAACTGCATTGTTTTGCCAGTTTACCTCATGGTTAGGTAAATGGTACCCTAAATAAATCTAAAAGTAGCCCTTAGCTGTACTATTCCAGCTGGAAATGAGATTTTTTTTTTTTTTTTTTTCCCCCCAAATACCCAGGTAAATTCTCCCTCCCCGGATATCTATATATAGATTTTTGAGGTTACAATAGGTCTGTCCTACTTCATGGTTTCTCTCTTCCTCCCAAAAGTCTACATGGGCAACAAGCAAAGTCTTCTGTCTGAGATTTCTTACTCTAGGAGGTCGCTAGGCGAGGGAAATTCTCAAAAGTTCTGTTAAGATTTCTAACTTGGCTATCTGTTTTAAGAACTTCTGAATCAAAGTAAATATTCCTACTTGCCTTTCCTATTTCTGTTGAAAAAGAACTAGTAACTTTTATAAAAAAGGAGGCCATGAGGTAGAGCATTGGCTGCATGTAAATGAAAGCAGATACTGTTCTGAATGCTGAAAAATGGTAATGTAATATGAATAGTCATATTCAGCTAGAGCTTGTTAGTGATCTGATTTGCCATACCTTACTGAAAGAACTACTGCATTTCTAATAGTATGTTACGGTACTCTGTTTTTAAATGCATTTCAGTGATTGTATTCCATCTTTTTTTCAGAAATGTTATGAACAAAAACAATACAAAAATGGACTCAAGTTCTGCAAGATGATCCTCTCTAACCCGAAATTTGCTGAACATGGAGGTAACTGCAGACTCAAAAGATCTTTTTTTTCTCCTGTCATGAACTTAAATGTATAATCAATCTATTCCATACTATTGGGAAAGAAAGGAGCCTGTTGTGGAGTATAGTTCTGTCCTTCTGACTGAATAATTATTCTGGATTTTCAGTCTTTGTGCATTTAGACCAAGTTTTCACCCTAGCTCAGTCAAACACTCCTGTGCGGTGGGATGATGAAGATCAAAATACATGGTGGAAGCACACTACAGTGAAGCTTCCAAGTAAGTTGCCTTTCTAGGTTTCTGGGTCAGAGTGTCTGCTTAACAGCAAGCCCAGCCTGTTTTTGAATGTTACATGAAGGTATTCTCCCAATGAATTCAAAATCTTGCTTTTTTTTTTTTGTCAAGTTAATACTCTTAAATTTTCTGTACTGCATACCAAATTGCTACTTATAAGGAGCAAAGTTAAGTGTAATACTGTTACTGCTAAGACTTGAAGCTAAAGACAGAATCTGGAGGTCCTGTTCTGATAAATATTGCAGGAAATGGGACAGCAAAATGTTGCTTCTATTTACATGTCAGAACTTAATCCTCAGTAAGATACTCTAGTCTTATTGTATTACAGGGTTTCTGTTGCGTGGTTCAGCCAATCTTTCCTTCTGATACAGTGAATTTTTCTTGTTCGTCTGCTGTTGAAGCAGCCGAACACGGAGTGTGCACGTACCGTGTCAGTAAAATTATTTTTCTATTTGACATTGTCAGACCTTGGCAAAATGTTTGACTAATCCTTTTCATGCTTCCAGCACTGTCTGCTGTTTCTTCGTTGTTTTCGTTACTTCCCTAGAGATAAAAGTACAGTTTTCTTGTTGCTTCAAAGCTAGAGTGGCTTGTCCAGCTCTGACCTAATGCATTTGTCTCTACTGGCTCTTGTGTTTTTATAACATCTCAGTATACATCTCTGTCTTTTCTGCTCTTGCTGCCTCTTAAACTTTTCCAGGACAACTAGCTGCCTTGGCAGGCCACATACTACTTGGGCTCTGAGCCACTAATGGCTTTGAAGCTTGGGAGCAAAGCCTGGAACGAACAGCTGAAGCAGAACTAAGCCAATGAAATGATCTGATGGGAAGCTGCACTGTTGTCACAGTTAGCTTCAGAGACAAGGAATTTGAAAAATTTAGTGAGAAGGTGGCAAACAGATGGATTGCTGTGGCTGGACAGTTATCTCCCTGGTGTGGGAAGGTAGGAGTAGCTTGCCCTCCTTCCCACAGTGGGGATTTTCTTTTTCAAGCTTCCTGATATTACTGGGAAGGTATCATTCTAGCTTTCTCTGCTCTTACAGTGTGGATGTAGGACAATTTAAAAACAAAACAAAAGCCCTGGCTCATTTCGGGTCATCATTCGCTTTAGGTGTACTTTTACAGAAAACTGTGTTAAACAGATCTATCAATGAAACTTGAAACTGCTGTAATGGCTGACCTTGAGATGATGGGCCATTGCCATTAATACTGGGGAAAAGGTTGCAATTGGAGGAAAACCAGAGTACTATAATGAAAATGTGACTAATCTTCTGGCAGGGGCCAAAACTAAGTGGTTTCTCTTTTTAGCAAAAAAACCCTGAAATATGAATCTGGAACATGTTTCAGGCATAGTGCATGCATTACATACAACTTGTTTCCCACTTGAAGAATGGGGGAAGAGAGGGAGCAATAGTCATACCAATGTATTATTTGGAATCTTGTGCCTCTCAGAACGTTGATTAAAATGCTACTACTTTGAGAAGGTCTTTTACCCCCAAAATACCGTAGCAGGAAAGATGCTCCTCTTAACTAATGCTTTGTAAGCAACCTGTAATAGTGGAGCTGGCTGTGATAGAGGTCTGTGTTTTATGGTATGACACAACCTGATGAATTTTTTCTTCCTCTGCCTACCTGGAACTTTAACACACATTGAGAAGCTCTCTAAAATTGCTTTAGCTTATTGTTAACTCCCTTAAAGCCAGTTAAAATGTATTTTTTTAATTAATAAAGTTTGTGTTGTCTGTGTTCATCACATCTGTACGATGCTCTGCAGTGATCTTTTTAAGGCCAATTTCAGGAAAGGACGTGCTTCCATATAACAGTCTTCAGCTGTGCTAGGCTGCTATCCTGATCTAAATTGATAATTTAATGGGGAACTTCACTGTATAATAACTTCAAAGGATATCTGCACTGTGAAACTGGCATATGGGAAGTCAGAAACATAAGTATATGATATTTCTTACAGAGACGCTTGCGATGAAAGGACTGACCTTGAACTGCTTAGGGAAGAAGGAAGAAGCATATGAATTTGTTCGTAAAGGACTTCGTAATGATGTAAAGAGTCATGTCTGTATCCTTTTTAATACAAAACCTGATCTTTTTGCTATGAGTTATACATCTGCATGTATCATTTTTTTGGCTACATCAGTACGTACTTCTGAAGTATGTAATGTGGTCTGTATAAAACAGTCTAAAATAAGGTATGTACAGTGAATATTAATTGGTAATCAAATACTTCAAATAAGGTTTTATTTTCCTGGCTACAATTTTGCAGAATCTTTAAGAAAAATGCCCTTTACATTTATCTCTTAGGAAAAGATCATCTATGGTGTTTACTTTCTGTAAAGAACAGGTGTGGCTTGTAAAATTTGGTCTTTTCTTATACCTTTTTACGAGAGAAGAAAACTTTAGAAGTCCAATCTAGAGGTGCTCTGAAACAATCTATTTTGCCACTAAATTTCAGGTAATGGTTTAGGTCTGCTGGCTTGATGACTACTACTCTGTTCTAAGCTTGTGTTCCAGAAGTTCATACCTGCGAAATACTTAACAGCTACCGAAGAGCTTTGGGAGTAGCTGTCTTCTGTTTAAGCCACGGGTAGGAGGCTACTTCAGATTTGCACAGAATGCCTTACTTGTTCTGTATGCATTTCAGTTGCATGTTAAGGGGCAAATTTCCCATTAAATATTTGTTTTCAACATTTAAAAAAAAAAATCTTCCTTTATCACAGGAAACACTCTATGATGGCCATGTAGTTAAGACAAAGGGATGGCTGTTGACGCCGTTCCTGTATTAAACATCCAGGGAGCTAGAGGTTGGGAAAAACCTGTAAGGGTATGGAGGTTTATCAGTTACTAGAGGTATGCCATAGAACAATCAAAGACAATTTGTACTTTCGTATCTGCTAAGGAATACCAAAGCAACTTTAATCTATGTATAGGAAGTCTCACACCTTAAATCAGGGAGCAAAAGGATCTGGGCGAGTTAGTGGAGAGTTTTGGGGGATTCCAATTACTAAAAAAAATTCCATAGTGGGATTTATCAGCATCATTAATTCTTGTCTGCAATTCATGCTGACTCCTAAAACTGTCTAGAAGACTTCCCTACAAATGCTGGAGGGACCTGTGCTTTTTCAGATCTAATTTGGTGGGGTGGGGTGGTCAAAGGGACCCTCTTCCTGGACAAGTTTAAAAAAAAAAAAAAAAGTTGGGTTTTTTTTTGGTTATGTGTTTTAGTGGATTTTTATCAGTGTATTACTGACTTGTTAAACTTACCTTAAGACGACTACAAGGATTTTTGTTTTCTGAATTCAGAGAAAGTGTAAACTCAACTGAATCCTGTTAGGTGCAAATGTTCGTTCTTGTTTTTTTTTTTTTTTTTTAAACTGCATCCATAGAACTAGCTCTGATAAAGCAAGAAGTTCCAACTTTTTACGTTCAAGTGTATTGTTACAGCTCTACAGAGAATCCCCTGGAGTAATCTGTCTATGCAGTACTATTTCTCTAGTGAGCACAAGCTACCTGATAGTGAATTAATTCCAGACTGAGCATCAGGTTTGTCACAGTACTTTCAGTTGTCATCTCTTGGTAAATTCTAAAGAACTAGCAGACCTCTTTCGCTGTTACCACACTTCTAAGAGCACCTGATGTGCTCTCATAATGCCACTCCCCAAATATCTGAATCTTTCCTGATGGTGGGGCTCCAGTACATGGGGAGAGTCAAGACTAGGAGAATATATTTTCTAGCCCCTGAGAAACTGAGATCTGAGGCTGAGCTCTTTAATAAAGGTTCCTTCTGCATCCTTTGCAAAGGCTTGTGACTAGCCATGAAGTTCTGATGAAAGTTTGAAGGCCTGTTGATCCTCAGTGCTAGTTAAGCAGAGCTTGGGAGGTTTTCTAAAATAATGCTTTCATTTCCTGTTTTGTGGGAGCTTAATGTCTGTCATTTGGTTTAAAGGGAGAGCCAGGGGGTAGCCACTAAAGTCACCTTGTTCCAGTAGCTGGTTTCGAGGAGGTGCAATACATCTGTGTGTGCTTATTTTCTTGTGGTAACATTTGAAGGTGCTTTTGGTGTATTTTGTCATCTGTGCACCTGGTACACACAGAAAGCACGTGGTAGAGGGTGTTTAAAATACAGCTGGTCACTTCAGTGTTCTGATATGTTTAAGGAGGAGTAGAAGACTTCAATTCTTCTACGGTTCCACATATTGAGGTTTGGGGGAAAATGTCTGTTCTAAAACTGTTTAGAAATCCAGAAATTTTCTGGTCAAACTACAAATGAATTCTGACCCATTTTTGGATATAACTTGAGTAATGATCTAGTTGGAGATCTACACTTATTTCAAGAATAAATGTTTTAGGTAATGGCGTGTTATACTCAGGATGCTGTAAAAACACATGCCAGACTGCTCAGAGCTGTCTACTGTAATAAATTGGTGTCACTATGCTTTATTGGCTTGTATCAGCTGTTAATATTTCTTATGCTTAGTCTTGACTACTGTATACAGTTATTTCTGAAAGGGTTTATGCTTTTCTTTACTTGATTGCTTGGTGAGGAATATGATTTATGAAAGATTAAGCCAGTTTACCAGTTGAATCCAGAAATGGTAATGATGCCTGATAAGTTACTCAAAGCATCATCTTGGTCTAAGAACACTGTTAAAGTGCACATAAATTCTTTTGGACTGAATTGTCTTGCTCTAGGCGAGAAACTAAAATATCAGTAGTTCTGAGGCAGGTACACGAAGATGCCACATTTAACTTCGATCCATGTCCTGAATACTTGAACTCAAATAGGCAAGGCAGGCTTTATAGAAAGAAGCAGCAGTATTAGAACAACTGCTGTAACTGTATCCAAAATCGTTTCGTCCCCCTTTCCTGTTTAGTCTTAAATCATCATGGCAGCAATAGCAGCTCTCCTAGCAGTCTCAAAGATGCATATGGAGTTTTTGTGTGCTTCAGCTGGCTGAAATTGATTTGGTGTTCCCATAGAAATGCAAAACAGGGTCTCTTGCTTGTGTATTAGAAGTTTCCTTCAAACTGTTAATTCTTACAAGTCTTTTCTTTTGGCTGGAGTCTTATATCTTTCATTCTTGATAATTACAAACCTGCTTTATATCTTCATATCTAGAACTTACTTCAGGACATGAGTCTTTCTAAGAAAGAGCAAACTTAGTTCTGTTTCTTTGATTAATTTGACCAAGTTAACCCATTGAATTTTTTATGTGCTTTCTCAATTTTCAGAGATACAAAGTTTAGAAATGATCGTATCTTTGGAGGGAACAGTTGCTTCTGTTTCAATTCAATAGCATAAGAACTCTTAAATATTTTGGTTATTAGCACTATGAGTTATTTGTGACATCTTAATTAAAAGTGAGTGAAGGGTGCATACACCTCTCCTCAAGATTTCCTGTGTTCTGCTGCTTTAGAGGCACATGGGAGAGCTGCTTGAGAGAAGTTTTGAGCCACTTCTAACTTGAAAATCAAAATAAGTTCAGATTTACTACTGTGGAATATGTTGTCTCAGTGAGCTACTAGTAACCTGGAACAGCAAAAGGTGGATCATGTCAAGTAATCTTTCTTTTAATACAACTTTTCAAGAGTGATGTAAGCACACACAGCGTAATGTGTTGCTATGATGTATGTTGGTTTCATGCTTTGAATTCAGAATCTTTCCCAGATAAAAAAGAATGCTTGTGAGAGAAAAGTCTGTTGAAATAACACACTGCTGATGGCAATCTGAGATGCTGAGAATGTGACAAAGACTTTTGACGCACAGAAATGCTAAGATTTCCTTTTGTCAATGAATAAAGTGTAGCTCTGTGTTTATCCCTTACTGTAAAATCTGGAGACTAATTGAGGCTACAGATTTGCAAGTGAGGAAAAGTAAAACTTGTACACCAATTGTATCATTAGAATGAGATACTTCCACGAGTAAGAATTCCTACTGTAATTATAATAGTATGTTTTAAACAATACATCTCTAGGAATAACTCTTCTGGGTCTTGGAGTTTGGATCATTTAGTTTGTATAACAGTGTTTTTGGGGCGGGGGTATGAATGCGACTTAACAGAAGACTTTTAATTGAGATGTCTTTGCTTATTTGGAAGCATTTAATATTTTAAAATGTGTCAGTAAAGGCTGGCTGCAGTAATCAAATTTAATTTATAAGGGTGCTGATCTTCAAGGAAGATGTCAAGTTGTTTGGTCTGTAGCACAAATGCACTGCAGTTACTTTGTGAAAATTGTGAACGTATCTTCCTTAACATGCATTAGGTTGGCATGTCTATGGTCTTTTGCAACGTTCTGATAAGAAATATGATGAAGCTATCAAGTGTTACCGGAATGCACTGAAACTAGATAAAGATAATCTACAGATCTTGAGAGATCTCTCTCTGTTGCAGATTCAGATGAGGGATTTAGAAGGATATAGAGTAAGTATTCCCTTTGAATTCCCATTTATTGTTGGTAGCATTCTCTTCTTGTTCTATTCCATTATAAAGTCTTTTTTTGGTTGTAATTCTGTTGCTACTTGTTTTTGCTGTTTCAAAAGTGTTTTAAGCTCTTGTTTAGGAAAGCATGAAAACATATTGCAGCAGAGCTCCATATAATATAATGTTGAGAACCAGAACTGAAGTACCATTATTATGTACAATTTGACTTGTGGATCACCTTGTAAAGCTCTAGTTTTCAACTCATTTTTCACTAAAATAATGAAAATAAAAAGGATAAGACTTAGCTTAGCAAATAGGAGTACTTACTGTGCTATTGTAAAGTACTGCAAATGGTGTTTGGGTGTGTATACTGAAGAGGTTTTTTGTGACAATACACTATCATGTATGTTTCGAGTATGTGAGAAACTTGCTCCATGATGACTGATTTCTTGATTCCCAATACTGATTTTTATCTTAAAGAAAACCTTAAAATTTGTCTAAAACAGGGTTAGTGGTTTCAAAATGGCTGAACTGATGTGGCTATGAAAGGGGAAAGTTCTGCTCCTCTTCTATCCTCTACTTCATGTGAAGTGGAGGACTGGACTGTAGGCTTCAGCATTAGCTGGTCTCCTTTGCTGAGGATGTTGAATTTGCTAATGCAAGAAAAGGGGATAACTGACCTAGGGATATGACTTGACTCAGGAAGGGGGTCTGAGAAGTACTGCAGCAGTGTAAGTAAGAGGACCTTGTGCCTGGGCATGAGGAGAGTTGTTCTGCTCTTTCAGTGGCAGTGAGCTCATGCTTTCTAATGGAAACCCCTCTCTGAGATTTCAAAGCTCTATCTTTGGAAATAATTTAGGCACTTAAGAGGTACTCTTGAAAATGACACCTTTTGTGTCCCAACAAATAGATGTTATCCTTTGTGCCATGACTCCTATATTTAAATGTAGCCCCCAGATTTATGAGATGGCAACATGCTGCTTTTCCCCATGCCGTTAGAGTTTAGAAAACTGCCTAGGGCTTTTAAAAGATCTTTTAAAATATTAGCCATACTGGTGGTAAATCATGATAAAGGTGTAGTAACTCTTTAACGTATCTGTTATTTTTAAATTGCTTTTCTTTTACTGAAGGAGACAAGATACCAGCTACTTCAGCTGCGCCCCACGCAACGGGCTTCCTGGATTGGATATGCCATTGCGTACCACTTACTAAAAGATTATGATATGGCCTTAAAACTACTTGAAGAGTTTAGGAAAACCCAACAGGTAAGACTTCCTATTCTGCAAAGAGAACACTTTCTGTATAAGAGACAGAATCTGAGGAATTAGTTCTTTGTAATTAAGAAGAACCGATTAGGAACCAGTTAAGAATTAGGAAGAAATTTGTTACTTGTAGAGCTTTCTGCTTTGAGCAGAAAAATTTCCAAGAGCTTAGCAGCTGATGCAAATTATACAGGAATACTTCTTCCCTTCATAATAGGCTGTTAGGGTTGAGGGTATGAGGGTAGACTGATGTGGAGTAACTGATTAACTCAATGTTTGTGGGGCTTGTAGCTAAAGAAAACCCGTGGTGATCCTGTCCCTTTACAGTAGGTAAAACTTCAGAAAATTACTGTTTAGTGTTGGATGTGCTCATTTGCCCTTTTTCCTGCTATAGCCTGGATGCCATTACATCTCTGCAAAGAATGTGAAAAGAAACTTTTTCATTGCTTTTATATGCATCTGTAGATTATGCACTTGAAGTCAATGCTTGGTGTCAAAGTAATGTGAAAGCATAGCTGAAAATTCTTTGTTTGACATGATTTGGTGTTACTGAAACTTGTTGGAGTAAAGCAAATGGTACAATGCTAAAATCACTGAGTATAACCCTTTTTTTAAGAGAGAGACCATTGCTTTGTTCTGTTATTGGTAATGCAGAACTATAAAGTCTGAATTAACAGAACAGAGTGGATGTGTTGTTCGTTCTGTAACATGGAAAGAAAAAACATTTATAGATGCATTCAGCTTGGGAGGCGTGCTGGAAGTATCATGTGCAGAATCTAAGATATTACCTGACTTATAGATTGTGATTTTTTTTTAACGAAAATCTCACATCCTTCCTGAGATAACTGCATTTGAGATATTATACAGCCGGAATGGGACTAACTGTAAGAAGGGAAATTAATAATTGCTAGCAGGGACCAGTGTTTGTGTCTTGATCATGTATGGTGGTCAAACAAAGCATGTTGCAAGCCAGGTATATATAGCTTGATATTTCAAAAGAGCTGTAACTTCAGTGTTGAATAAAAACCGAAAACAATAAGTTTAAATGAAAATTGTGTCATCTTTTATGAGTGTTTGACAGCCAAAAAGTCATGGTTCTCGAATGAGTCAGCAGAGCCCAATTTGAGTTCAGTGTTGAAATGTCTGTTAGAATTAGAAAAAATATACGAGATGAAAAAACTGCAAATAAAGTGTAAGAAATTGAGGTTCTTTCAAGGACTAACAAGGCTTAACAGTGGTATTGGCCCCTTGGAGAGAATGGAAGCGATGCTGTTAATGTTGTTGTCTGTTCTAAAAGGTTGTGCGTAAATATGCTTGTTTGAGGGCAGTCATGATGATATGCTCTGCAGTCTAGTGACTAAACCAGATTTAAGTACCATCTGCCATAGATGAACATATTAAATCAGTTGAGTCTGCTGTGCAAGTTATCACAATCTTAAATCTCATCCTAAAACAAAGAAATCCTGAGATCTCAAGCTCTGATGCCATTTTTTTAGTGAAACCTGCAATATTTGGGAAATTTCCATAAATAGGAAAATGGTTTGTACTTGAACAATGAGCTGTTTAACTGTTGATTAGCATAGTATCAGCCACAGGAAAATGGTGGAAAAGCTGATTCAGCATTAAAGGACAGAAATAGCTACAAGTGTTGGACAACATGAGTTTATAGAAAACTAGTTGTGTCAAGCCTTTCCTCTTTTTTGAGATGGGTAGAGAGAGTTAAGTGGTATGTTGTGTTTTCTCCCCCAAAAGACTAAAAATAAGGATGACCACATTCGTTTTGTTTCTCTTGCAAATAGTCTTGTGCTTTGCTGTGCTAGCTCCCTGAGGAGTGCAGGCCCATATAGAGCCCCAGCCACTGGAAGAGAGAATCAATGTATTGGGTCCAGAACAGTCAGGAGAGCCCAAGCAAACTCACAGTTCAATTTAGCTCTTTGACAGTAGTCCCCAAACGTACTGTTTGTGCAGTCTCTGCATATTTAAGTCCTGCACTTAAAATAGTTGAGTTCAGGATACTCCATTGATCTCCATGGAGGTACACTTCTTGCTTGCTTTACTTTCCAAATCTCCCCTTTTGCCCTGTATTTTGCATGCACGCCAACTCAATAGATAAACTTTTGTGACTGACTTGATAGCATATTGCATGTGACTGTGATAAAAGGGTGATCTTGTTCAAGGTTTAAAAGGGGGGCTGAAAGACTGAAGGGTTTCCAAATCGCTAGTGAATGGGAATCTTCAACAAACTCATGTTTTCAAGGAGTTTTATGGCAATCTGTATTAGGCCTGATACTGTTTACCATTATTGTTAATGAATAAAGAAGTAAATGTAACATGTTATGTGCAATGCTGCTGTCTTAATAATTGGTAAATAATGGTGATGTAGGGTGATCATATTCATTTACTTGGATTACTCAAGCAGCTCTGTCCATTCAGATGTGAATTAACACAGACAAAACCAAGCAGTAAAACAAAGAAAGAGATCAAGGAACTGTCATTTTAGTGATTGTAGGTGAGTATCTGAAGATGCAGTATTACAAAATAACGGAGCTGATCTAGCTACAAGCTGTTGCCAAAACCAGCAGTCTGACTTTTTCCTGTGTGCTCCCACTGCTTCCTTGTGCAGCACTGGTTGACTCGTGGAGGGCTGGTTCAGGAAGCCAAAGTGACAGAAAAATAATCACTCTTTTGAAGGATTGATTGGCTGAACTGAACAACTGTGAGGTGAGAGGGGAAAGAGGAAGGGGAATAATAGAGGGAAGTGAACTGCTTTTGTTGATCCAGGCTGCAGTTAGATTGATTTAGCTTATTGTAAAATTGTCCCTCAGGGCAGACTTGTGAATGAAAAGCAAAAAACACCCTTATTTCTGAGAAGCAGCAGGGATTTTCTCTATAGACCACTGATTACTGAGAGATCGAGACTTACTGATGACCCTGTTTCTAAAAAGTGAGAAAATGAAAAGAACAATATGGAAAGATAAGAGGACTAGAGGAAAATACTGTCTAGTGAAGGGCAGAGATTCTCTTTGTTTACTGTAAGCAGAAAAAAACCCAGGTGATTCCAGTACAGTTTAGATACTGGGTTTGGGAAGAATGATAGCTAGGAAGATTGCTTAGTGGGGAAAAATAAAGGAACAAGTAGTGGCAGAAGTTGAGCAACAAATTCAAATGATAAATCACTTTTTATCACTGACAGTTTTATTCTAATGGCTGAGTTATCATTGGAAATGGTGAATTTTCTATCTCTCAGTGTGTCCAGATCAACATTGCCTGTCATCTGAAAGCTGTAAATTAACCAGATGCACAATATTTCAGTCAAAAACAGGTTATGAGGTTGAATGCAGACATCACTGCAGGAAGTATAACAGCCTGTGCTGTCCAAGTTAAATAATTTAAGAGTCACTTCAGAATTTAAATTTTAGGAACCAAGGTGTAAAACAACTATGCAACTTGTTTTACTGTTGTATGTCCCATTTTTCCTTTCTTCTTTTCCAGAACAAAATTTTTATTCTTAATTTTTATTTTATTCCTAATTTCTGCATCAGGCCCACAATTACAGATATGGACAGAAAACCTCTGGAGTTTTGGGGGTCTGCTCTTAGGTATGTTTTGGCTGCATCTTGTCACATTCTTTCAGTGACAGTTATGATAGGGCATCTACGGTTGTAAAGTTGATTCTTTTTTTTTTTTGGTCCAGGAGAGGAAGAAATTTATTCTGAAACAGCAGAATTGAGTTCAAGAGAAAGTTGGACATCTCGTGTGCGAGAGCTATAACTCGTCTGGGGGGAGGGAGGAGTAAAGATGTATTGTGCAGCAATAACAATGGCATGGAAAAAACTTTTTATGGAATATCTTATTCTTCATAAGAATCTGGTTGTTCAGATTAAGTACTGGGGTTATAGGCTGCTTGCCTTCTGATAAATTGCACGTTTAAATCATCATTAACCAGATGAGGTTTCAAAAATCTCTTTAAAAATGAACTTTTATTAAAACTACTTTTAAAAATGACTTTTTAAATGGAGTAACAGTAAGTGCAGTATCTCTCATGGATTTGCCCTATGTGTAAGAGGGAGTTCATTTGATTTTCTTGACACTTCATAATTTCGTTCGTTAGTCCTGCCAAGCCAGAAGAGCTATGAGAAGGTTAATGATATGTTTCTTGTCTTTTATATATATATTTTTAAGGGCTTTCAGGTTAATGTTTTGAAGGCCTAAAACCAATTCATGATGTGCCAAAAAGCTGTGCTACTTATGTAATTTAGATATGTGTATTGTTTTGGAGGGGAGGATATTTTTAAGGGGGAGGTGAAGGAGAAAGAACTAAATTGGTGCTCTGCAGTTTCAGTTCTGTGGTATCGCAGTAAGGATAAGCAGGAAGACATGCTTAAATGCTTAACCCCTGTTGCATGTGTCAATTCTGTGAAGCAGTTAAAAATGCTTTCCAGGTAACAATGTTTTTTATTAGTGAGTTCCAGTGTTTAATATGGATAAAAATTGAGCAAAGCTGGAAACAGAAATGAAGCTGCAGATAGAGGAAATATACTTTAACAAATGGGTGCTACCTGCTGACTCGAGTATGTGCAAGGTCTTGTCTTGTTCCGTTAGCCATCATTTTCTATAATGTGTTAGCAGTTACTAAAAAATACTTGAATGCTGTTACTTTCATCCCTGAAACTGATGTTCATTGCCAGATACATACTTTACAATATTTTATTTAATTATTCTGTCTTTCAGAACATTTCTATCTAAAAGGAAATCTTCCTTCTAAAAATTCTCAGTGCTATAAAAGCTGCATCTAAAAATTCAAAGAGCATGTAAACAGAAACATTAAATCTCATAAAACTGATCTGTGCTTAGGGAAGGGCTGGAAGTAGTGGTTTAGGACAAGATTCTTTTAATATGAATGTGAATTTCAACCAGTTTAATGTTTTGGGGGTTTTTTTTGTTGCTTATTAAGTTACTTGGTTCTTGAAAGAAGACAGGAAAAGCTTTACTCAGGGAACAGAAAAGTAATAGTAAACCATTTGGTGACCAGCGTGACTTCAAAGTGTTGCTTGCTCAGGAAGAAACAAAGTATGTAGTGTCATGGGAAAGAAAATCTCTTATTCTTGCAATTTACTTGTAATTAAAGTAGCTTCTGTATATATTAGCGAAGAGCATTTAGTATGAAATAATTATTATAACTCTGGCAAGACTTTTCATTGCCTAAATACACTTTAGGGAGGTATCCCTAGAAAGGAATACTTTTGAATGTCATCCTGTTGCAATGGCTGATGTATCACTGGAAGGTGGATGACCCACTAGTTTTACTATAGCCTGTAGACAAAGTCCTAGGTATGCAACTGGCAGCAGACCTAGAAATAATTATCTGTTGCTTGAAAACACTCTTTGCGTGCTTGTGCACTGTATTTTCTGGGGGACTGAAGTGTAGTACAGAGAACATGTGGTTAGAGAGAAATAGCGTAAGTTTCCTGTCTGAAAAATTCTAGATGTCAGTCTGTGGCCAGTATTTGAGTGGTTCATTGCTCTTGGAAATAGGTTGATCCGGAATATTTGGTATGCTGAAAATGAGTATTGTGGTATCCCAGCAATCTGCTGCAGAACTTAGGTAAAATTGATGTGGAGTACATGAGTCCTTCAGAAGGAAAAGATTACCAAGATCTTTGCAGATTTTATTGAATTATATGAGAGAAGGCAAGGATTCTGTTTTTAATTAGCTTGCCACAGTCATAGAGAAAAGAGAAATACAGGAATTCTTTTAAACTGTTCTCTAACAAATTATATCCTGAATAAATCTAATTTGATTGTAAATAATGGGAGTTTTACATTTTGAATGTTTGGATGGGTATATAAATAGACCTGATCTATTCTGTAGTCTGAATGTTGTGCTCTATAATATTGCATACAGTTGAGGTACAGGTAAATGTTAACTAACCTATTGCTTTTTTCCCCCCAGATTCCTCCTAATAAAATAGATTATGAATATAGTGAACTGATTTTATATCAAAATCAAGTGATGAGAGAGGCAGATCTATTTCAGGAGTCTTTAGAACATATAGAGACATATGAAAAGCAAATATGTGATAAATTAATAGTAGAAGAAATCAAAGGTAAGTCACTCTTCTTCCCTCAGCCTATTTTGTTCTAAAATTTTGCTGTTAGTTTTCAGATATGATAAAGCAGTAAAAGAGAAAACATGTGAAATCTTGAATTGATTGGCAACAATTACTCTAGCGAAACTGGTAACACCAGACTTACAATTTCGTGTTCAAGTAACTTGCCCTACCAAAGTGGACAGTGGATGTGGGTAGTTTAACTTGGGTTGACACAGGAACAGAGGAGATCTCAGAGATTATTATATTGGTGCATACTAGAGTAGCTTTCCGTAAATCAGAGCTAGTATAACCCAGTTTTAAACTCATCAAGAATCTCATGAGGAATACTGTTTGTAGTAGTACAAACACTGTTTGGTTTTTTTGACTGAAGTATCAAATTCTTGTTTCCTTTTTAAGTTTCTAATGTACTTACTTGTATTGCCCTACTCAAGTGAATACTGAAGTTGACTTTTTTGATTAAAAATAACCCACAGTTGTTTTGTGGATTTGAAGTACTGAGTTCTGAATATGTGCAATTATATAGTGTAGTAGTACGTATTCTTCAGCTGCTCCTGACTTGCATGGTTGTGGTGGGTTGACCCTGGCCAGCAGATAAGCCCCAGACAGCTGCTCACTCACTTCCCCCAGCCTCCCTTGTCAGGACAGGAGGGAGAATAGGAAGAGAAAAAGCAAGAAAACTTGTCTGTTGAGATAAAGATAGCTGAAGTGAAGGAAAGAGGAAAGAATGAGAAAGAAAAAGAGAAAAAAAAAAAAACCCAAACAAACAACAAAAAAACCCCAACCAACCAGATCCCCAAGTGATGCAAAGGCAATCACTCCCCACCTTCCGCAAGCAGACTGATGCTCAGCTAGTCTCCAAGCAATGGCCACCTGCCCAAACACTCCTTCCCCTCAATTATGCATGACACTATATAGCATGAAATACCCTTTGGCCAGTTTGGGTCAGCCGTTCAGGTTGTCTGCGCCCAACCTACTGTCCAGCCTGGCCTGCTTGCTGTGTGGCAGAGTTGGGGTAAAAAGAGAGAGCCCTGACGCTCTGTAAGTACTTCTTAGCAGTAGCGAAAACATCAGTGTGTTATCAACATTTAGTCACAAATCCGGAAACACAGCACTGTACGGGCTGCTGTGAAGTGAGTTCTGTGCAAGCCAGACCCAGTAGAACAATTTACTTGATAGCAAACCAGTGTGATTTAACTGGTTAAAAACTGGTTAGTTGGTGTGAAAACATATAGGTGTAATTAAGTAAACAGCCTGGTAAGAAGCAGTATAGTCATGTGTGGGAGTCCTGGAAGGAAGAGTTGCTTGTTTCTTTGATAATCCCAATGGCTATTTTAAATACTGAGATACAGATATTCAGATCTTTGTTTTCACAGGTGCTGAATGCTCCAAACTGTGTTGAGCTATATGTGTGGTAGCTTCAAGGAGCACTTGTAATACACAGCAAATGCCTTTGGAAAAATAAAGCCTCTTTTTAAGTATCTACATATGATTAAGCCCAATTTTATGTATCTAGTTTTATAAGCCTTACTCCCAAGCCATCAGTGTTTTCTCATGTAATTCACAGTTCTTTACTGCGTTGTTTTTAGGAGAGATGTTACTGAAGTTGGGAAGACTGAAAGAAGCTGGTGAAGTATACAAAGAGTTAATTGAGCGCAATGCAGAAAACTGGTATTATTATGAAGGCTTGGAAAAGGCCTTACAACCTAGTAAGTTAAGATATACAGATACATTGAAAATATACGTATTATATAGGATATACTTAAAACTCCTGTTTGATATGTTACTGTTTTAGATTAAAAAGCTTTACTTGTCAGAAAATTATGTACTTTCTAATCTTGAATATGATATAGTTGTGTTTTATCCATTTTAAAAATGTTCACTGAAAAACCTGTGTGCACGAAAATACCAACAGCAAGTCTTTCTCTTCTTGGAGCTAAAGGTGTCATTTGCTAACATGCTTACACGAAGAACATTTCCTTGCCACACATGAACTTGGAAACCAAATTGCAGTTCGTTCCTGTCTAGTAGTTGATTGTCAGACTACTATCATACATCACAACATAAAATTGTCATTCTGAAACTTGTTTAGGTGGTACCTCTTCATACAGACATGTAGAGAAATACTCAAATATCTATTTTAGATGGCTTTTTAAAGATAGGCCATCTGGGAAAAAAATTCTTTTTTTTTTTTTTTATTAACCTGACTGTTCTTTGGAGGACAAGATAAATGTGATAAAATCTGTTATTGCAGTGCTAGTTCACATTACTGCTGTTCTGTCTTTCCAGGAAAATAGCTGATTTTTTTAAATTACAATATTGCAACAATTTATAGTATACTAAGTGTTTTGCAGTGGTAACTTTTCCAGGTGTTTACCTTTACACAGGAATGGTTTCCTTGTATTTCACTGCTCAATATTTAGTGGAAGTTTTATTGGAGTTATTCTGATGACATCATAAATCATAAGCCTACAAGGATATTATTCATAGATACTATAGCTGCATTATGTCTCTCAACCAGCTTGCTTCTAGGAAGTTTTACAGTTGGGTTTCGTAAGGTCTGGGATTATGGCTTGTGATTGGGAAATGAAAATGATTGCATTTGTTACATTTATGCAGAGAGTACTGTTGCCCTTTGAATGGTTTTCCTCGTGTATCCGTAGAGTTGAACATAGTGGTTGCTGTCTCAGAAAATAAATTACCCAAGAACTTGATTATTCTGTTTGATAGAATAAATGTGTTGATGAAAATGTGTAGTTCTTAACCTACTGGATTGGTTCTTTGTTATTTGATATATTAAAATCCTATGTAGATTAAAACTGTACTAATTTATAAAACTAATAATGCTACTTTATTTTTTAGGTGGTCTTAGGACTATTTCCTCCCCCATGGTAAGTTCTGGAGCTCCAACTTGTGACTTGAATTAGGGCTTTCATATGCTTTAGTTCCAATCCAAACATTATTTTAGTGTAACTTTTAGAACTCTACATCTCTTGGAGCCACTGGGTAACATATTCCCCCCCCTTCCCCAACATCTGAGCTCAGTGACAAGTTAAATTGTTTTTCTTATGAAAGAAAAACAGATATATTTATTAAATATATGTTGTGTTATAGTCTTGATCTGTACATTCAGTTTCATTTAAATTGCTTGATGAATTTAATAATACTTAAGCAAAATTGATCTCATTTATGTGAAAATGGCATTTCAAAGCAACAGATTAGTTTTATTGAAGTTCTAACCACATTGGAGCTCCAAAGCATATTATGGGGGAAAGGGGAGGAGTGGGAAGAAAATCTTTAAGCAGCTTTATTTTTGTTAAACACTAAGGTATAGAGGGTTCTGGTGCTCAGTACTTACACTGGCAGTATGGTGCCCTGTTTTTGCTGTCACCTGAGGACCTATAATAAAGGCATGCTTGTATAGTATGCTATTGGTATACCTGTGATTTAGAAATGCAATATATTTCTCTGAATGCTTTAAGTATGTCTGAAATGGATGCATAGTGAAAAAACACTTAATGGAAGCTATGAATGTCAAACTACTGTGTGAATGGGTCTGCACAGCATGTAACTGAACGAAACCAAATTCTAGTACTGTATGATTTGAATGTGCAAGGTAATTGTCCTGTTTGCAGTTTATCCTTACAGTGATTAATGCTGGTAGTTGCATATTGTACATGCAGTGTGTTCTCAATAGACAGTTTTACACAGTAATGTTTATGATTAACGGGAAAAAATAGCTTGAAATGTTTAAATTGTTCAAATCCAAACTGTGTGAGAAGTCTAGCTACATTAATTCTCAACATCTAAAAACATTTAGAAGAATAGATATTTTATCTCTGTTACTTACATCTATTATATTTACTGATAATAGGCACTTTAGAAGAGAGGCTTCAGATTTATGAAGAAGTTAGTAAAAGACATCCCAGAGCAGTTTCACCTAGAAGATTACCTTTAAACTTTGTTTCAGGTAACAAGTTGCATATCTGTTCCATACTAGTTTTTTTATTTGGTTTTTTTCTTAAGTTTTCACCAGGCTGTTGAATGTGCATTTAATACCTATTTGTGCATTTAATACCTCTTTGTACATGTACACAAATCAGGAGTATGTATTTCTCTTGGAGTAGACAAAATTATTTGTTATGTTTTAGGAGTTGATAGAAAAAGTTCATGCACTCTTATATGGTGATATGAACTATGTAATGTTTGTATTCATAAAACTACAGTACAGAATGGTATATAGATTGTAGGAATTATGTACATTTTTCTGCATCATGCAAGTTAAGAATCAGAAGTTAAAAGTTGTAGGGGGTATAGTATACTCAAATTAGAAGTGTGTGTGTGTATGTACAACCCCCCTCCTATATCTTAAATTATAAGTCAGCTTATATATGTATTAATAAACACTGAAACTAGGTGTAAATGATGCATGTAACAATCACAACGGTATAGGACTGATGAATTTCAGTTTTTGTACTGTACCGTTTTACTACTGTACAGAAAACACCAAATCTGTTTTTATGACTGAATATTTTATTGGTGTACAACATTGTTGCAGAACTATTAGAACTTAAATCTACAACACAAACTAACTTTGTGCTGGTAGTTTAATAAGAATAGGAACAAAAAACAGGTCTCACAACGTTAGGTAGCACAAATTATTTTATTTTCAATTTTATAGCTAAGTACAGTGACTCTGTCTTTCCAAAAGTTGTTTTGAAGTACAGTGCACAACTGTCATCAGTTTTGGATGGAATATGTATATACTTTTTAAAACAGAAAGCTATGGCCTTCCAAAATAGAAGGAGGGAGGCTAAATGAAATGGTAAATCCCATAAATACATACACTTGGTATGTAGCTGTCTAACTGCTGTAACTCCAGTAGAGAACTTCTGGAAAGAAATATAAAGTACATGTTAGATATCAAGTGCCATGAAACTTTTAAGTTCAGCTGCAAATTCCCAGTGTATCTGCTCGTTTTTAATTTTCTGAGGTTAGCTTTTAGTTTAGCTCATTTACTGAGCACCACATTGGTTGTACCTTTAAAATGCTACAGAGCATAGCTAGTCCACTTTTCTGTTGTTGCTCAGGAGTCTGTGCATACACCTTTCTTGTGTAAAATCACAAGATTTTAACTGCTTCATAAGAGGTTTAGCCCAAAGTTGAACACTTGTACTTTACTTAATCCCAGATATTTTGGTTTCTTTGAAGATAACAAAGGCAAAATTTAAGGAAGGTCAGCTAGATTTGAAAAGCTAGGTGACAAGTAATTGTTTTTCTCCTGTAATAAAATCGTTATAGTAATACATGGCAAACAAGGAAATAACCTGCAAAATGCTTTTCCATATCTTTATTAATAGTGTGTTTTGCTGTTGACTTCATTTCACTTTGTTTTGCATTAGGTTACCTTATATCTGACAGTGTAGCTTCACAGCTAATGTTAATTTAAATACTGTGTTTGGTAATAAGGATTAGTTGTACCTGCTGTAGCAATAGTCTAAATGACAGCAAAATTCATTAGTAGATCAGTCAAGAAAAATCTCTCAGACTTTCTGCACTGTTTTATATGAAATAGGAGTTTTCCTAAATTAAAACTTGTGTTTCTGTTAATCTATTAAGTTTATAAGACAATTATTTTTGATACCCTAGAAATTCATCTATTTTAGTAAATGACTTCTTGTGTTTCCAAGTGCAGCAGATAAGGATTCCTGTTGGCAAAAGTTAATAGTGAGAACGTGAAGGTGTAGAAACAAACTTATTTGCAGATTTCAAGAGGACAGAATTTTTGGTTAAATGAGGTTGCTGTTCCCATGTGGTCACTGACCAGTTGGTTGCAACTGACGCTGGTTGATTTAGAATTGGCTTAAAATAAAGTGCAGGCTTGTATTAAAAGGGCAATCCTTCCCAGACCTTGCCATAGATTGCATCTTAACCTTGTATTTGATACAAATCAGCTCCTTGATCCAGCTGGAAACCACCTTTGTGGAGGAAGGCTGTTCACAATTAATTTTCAGGCTGATCAAGGGTTGGGGGTTGGAGTCTGAGCATCCAGTTTTAGATTTGTTTATGCTGCTGTGGATTCAGTGTTCTGTCATCAGGTCTTTTCTGTGCCTCAGAGACTAAATTTTGAGCTTGGCTTTGTGTCATAGGTGGGTGCCTCGCTGCATGTTTTGCATTTTTCAGATTATGTTTTAAAGTTGTCCTGCTTTCTATAAATATGTACTTAATGAAAATTTGAATCTTGCTTTTGTAAATTCTGAATTACAATTCTTCCATCAAGAATATAAATTAGAATAATTCAACAGAAGAAACAGAAACTGAGATGGATTTCTTTTTTCATATAGGGGAGTTTCTTGTAGTGTGAGAAAACAAGTTTTCATTAATCCACCTGTAATAAAGCACATGCTTATAGTCCAGGTATGGATCCTCATCCACAGATAGTAGGATTTTCTACATACAGCAGTTTGTTTTAGTACAGAAAGGTGAAAACATGAGTTACTTCTAATAGTCTCAGTAACAGTAAGTTTAGGACAATTGAGAATTGATGGAAGTATATAAGAATATTCTATACAAAGCAGTAGTGTCTTAATTCTCTGAATATCTATTAAAAAATCTATGAATCAAATTTGTAAGTGTTCTTAATGCTAACATACATACATAGAACTGTTGAAATAAACTTCAGTTCTTTATGCGAAGTGTACTACTTCCTTGTTTAAAGACTTGGAGAAGTCCACAACAGGGTAGGCAATGAAGTGTAGCAACTTCATCCCTATGCAAAGCAAACAAAACCAATTAAAAAACAAAACAAAAAAAACCAAAGCAAACAAAACCAATTAAAAAAACAAAGAAACAAAAAAAAACCCCAAACAAACTGAACAAATAAACAAAAAAAAAAAAAAAAAAAAAAAAAACGAAACAACCGAAAACAAACACTTTTCATCATAGGAATAAAAACATGAAAGCCAGCTATTTTTCTGACTGGATATCTTCTCTTGGAAGTCCTGTGTGTTTTTGTTTTGGTGGTGCTGGTTTTTTTGGAAATGGCCTTTCTCAGAAAGGTGGTATACTGCAAGTACGGTAATTTTTACCTGAAAACATAATTATATCAGATTTTTAGCTTTTTGCCAGTATATTTTGATAAAGACGATTCTGATATGGTGCTTATCCTTCTGAAACACAGTCTTTTATTCTGTTTCTGATTCCAGAAACAATCAGTTAGCATCGGAAGTCATGTCCTACTCATAAAAAGAATAGGACTAGAAGAGAGGTAGAGGGTTCATTTCATCCATCCTTCTTCCTCAAAGCAGGATAATCTATATCTACACTATTCTTAACAGACATTTGTCTAACTTAATCATAAAAACTTCCAATGATGGAGCTTTTACAAGATCTCCAAGGTAATCAATTCCAGTGCTTAGTTATTCTTACCATTATAATTTTTCCAATGTTTGTTTAAATAGCCCTTGCTACATCCTCTGTAGCCAGCACTTAACACTTCTTCCTTTTAATAGATTTTACAGGTTTGAGGACTGTTACCATGTCTTCATCAGCAGTCTCCTAAACACTAGCAACTTAATGATTTTACCCTGATCTTTTTTTATCCAGAGCATAATTGCATCTTATTCTTAAATAACAGGAAAGATTAAAACCCTTAATTGCCATTTCTCAGTTACTCTATTATCCAGAATTGCACAGCAATTAGTGCTTATATTTATATAACACTTGCAATCACTGACATATAACCAAATACACTTTTGTTTCTAGGTGAAAAATTTAGACAACTAATGGATAAGTTCCTGAGGGTTAACTTCAGTAAAGGCTGCCCACCCTTGTTTACCACTTTGAAATCTTTATATTACAATCCAGAAAAGGTAAAATTTAGTATTTATTTGGTTTTAATGAAGTCTTCTATATTGAATTTCGAAAAGACTACCTAACTGTTTTTATATAGATTTCCCTGTAACTTACCAATAACTGTTGCTGAGCATTTTTCTCCTTAATGTGCTATTTTGTCGTATGTGAATGATCACTTGATAATGCTTGATATGTATGAAACTTCACTTCTGTAGACAGTTGATGTCAAAATGCTTGAAGTCGGATTGGTGCAGAATGCACTGAAGTTCTTGAAAAATCAAAGATAACCAATAACTTTATTTTTGTGTACTTTGAATGCAAGTGTGTCAGGATTCTTTCAACTTATGGTTTATGATGTCACCAGAAGTCACGATTTTAAAATATCACACAGATGGCTATTGTTCTACGTACGTTTCTGAATTGCATGAATACTTGAATACATTAGTATTTACCACAAAGGTTTGGTCCCATTTCAGTCTTTAGCTAAAACTTTTTAGTGTTTAATTTTTGCACTTGTAAACTCTCACAGTTTTGGCAAAATTGTGTCATATTAGAACTATTGTTTCAAGTATAGTTCTTTGTTCCAAGCTTGTCAGTAAGGTATAGTAAAAATAAATAAATCTTCAAACTAAAGCGTGTTATTAAAATGTGTAGAAAATAAAATAAAGGTCAGTCTATTCAGACATTGTTATCTTTGCTACAAGCAGTAAAACTCTGGGTATTCTAATTCATTCATGACTAAGAGGTTTTTGTAGCTGGAAAAACCCTAAATACATGATGCAGCTTTTCAACTGGCAGTGGATATTCCTTTAATTGGACTAAAATTATTATTCTTTCCAAGAGTTTCTTTGCTAGTTGTCCTAACGTGAAATTTTCAATACGCTTCTATTTGGAGAGCGTAATCTGTACTGTGTGTCCATGTTTGACATAATTTTAGTAAATTCTGGTATCATGTATAGCACAAGCTTTTCTACAGTGCCTATTGCTAATACATGCTTTTCAATGTAAACTTCTGCAACTGGATTGAAATTTTTTAAATGATAGACTATCTAGACAGAAGTACAGTCAGTGCTGTGGAAGTTTTACCTCTGCTATTTGAGGTATGAAAATCTGAAGTCAAGATACATATAAACTTATTCGATGTGTGAAAAGATTTCTAGCACTTCATTGTTTTTGACATAATGGTAAAAAACAGTGAGGACTCCCATGTTTTGGGGCCGACTTATCCGGAAAGGTGCCTTGCTGCTAGTTATCTTAATTGTGTCAAATCAGTGCTGCTCAGAACTGCCAGCTTAATCCTAAAATCCTAAAAACTAATTAAAATTAAAATCAACAGCGTCACAATTTTCAAATATGCTTGAATTTGTGCTGCTGACTTGTGCAAAAGTGTTTTCTTCTTCTTTCTCATCCTTCTCTTACCAAGACAGGGTCTCTTTCACATTTCACTTGGTTGGGTTTTCATGTAACTATAGTGTAACAGAAGGGTCTTTGAAACTAAGAGAAACTTTAATGTTAGTCGCTGACAATTAATTTTAGAATTGCTAAAATTTAGGGGTTAGGGGCCAGAAAATTGTGGCAAACTAATGTGTGCTACGCCTTTCAGGAAAATGTTGTATTTCAGTATCTAACTTGTCGAAGTCTGTGCTTAATACTAGCTTCTCACATGTTACTGGTATATTTTTGTCTGAAAATAGAAAGAATTGTAGTCAGCATCATGTTACGCCTACTAGAAAATACCTAGCAAATTACTGAATTCTTTACAAGTTGGGAATGAACGGTTCCCTGTTTTTTTTTTCTTTGGAAACAGGTGTAATTTGGTGTAGTCAACTGTAGTTGCATTTTGAAGTGGCATAGATACGAGGATTTTATGAAGGAGCTTGTATTTAAGCCTAGAAATTTTGTTCTTTCTTGAACTTCAGGTGGGTCCAGGATCTTTCATAAACACTGGTTTTGGGGAAAAAAGTGAAATAAGCAATATTTATATTAATAGAAGTTTCCTATTTGTATGTACTTAGCTCAGATGATAAAATAGTGCTGCAATATTTTATATGTAAGAAAGGAAAATGTAAATTATTTAATTCAAAACCTGCAAGAATACAGAAAAATAGTGGGGGGAAAAAAAGTATAGCTTTACTTTCTCAGTGAAGATGAGGATTATATTTCTCAGTAAGTATACCTTAACATTCTGGTGGTAAGAACACCTTTTACACCTGAGTGGGGAGACCAAAAGTTAATGTAAAGAGCAGCTGATTCTAGAGGAAAAATATCGATGTCTTCCCTCTGTTTGGAGAGGGCAAGGAAAAAAAAAGGTGCTTGTATAGAAGGCAAATGTTTGTCAAATATGTTCAGGAAAATGTTGGTTGTTACCTAATTGCTATAAGTTGGTACTTCATACTAAATGTTTTAAATAAAAAACGCTGGCATATTTTTATTTCTAAAAACAGATTGTAGTCTGCTAACATCAGTTAGCAGTTTTGAATGAAATCTAGCTTCAGGTACACAGAGCTGCGAAGCTCTAGGACTTGCCCAGATCAAAGTGAAGACTGTTCAGGGAAGTTTTAGAAGCTCTTCAGTACTTACACTGCTTAGAAAGACTCCAAATACTAAGGTTATAGGTTGGAATGTATGAATGCTTTGTATTCCAATACAGACATTGTTGTGATAAAGAGTTAAACCAGATTTGCTGTACTTGTGGTAGTTGTGGAAGTAACATCAGAAAATAAGGTGGGAAAAATTCTGATTTTAAAAACTTGCAGTTTGGTTGTTTGTCTCCCAAATTCTCTGGAATATGTTTTTAACAGTCAGGGAATGATGTAAAGTTCCAGTTTCAGGCATGTGAATTTAGGTCAGCGGACGTAGAGAACTGTTCAGCTCGTCACCATATGGGGTTTCCCACACAGGATCAGTTGAACAGCTGTCAAGGCTCCTTCTGACTGTGCTAGGTAGATCCGATAGATCTGTTTTGATTGTAGAGGGAGCACAGGCACTTATGGTTATTTAAGTACAGGTATCTGAACCTGAAGGGTGCCTGCTGTGTGTCCCATCTGTTTCACTGGGGTGTACCAGGAACTGTTTATACTTGTTCCCGAAGTATCTGTTGTATCAGTACTTTATATCTGTGAAACTAACATTGCGCAAGCTTTACTGGTTGCTTCTAGAGAGAATTAATGGATGTCCCACCAAAAAAAACAAAACTGAAATAACTGAAGTGCTAACTGGGTGGAGAGGATGTCACTTTTTCAGCTACTTAATGGGAATTTGTTTACATACTTGTGCAAATATTAAGCGGAGAAGGGCATGGAGTACAACTGGTTCTTCATCACTTCACTAAAGAATATGCTTTACTTTAGTTAAGGAGAAAAGATGTTTTTAGTCTTCCTCCACACTTCAGATAGAACTAATGTTTAAATCATTCAGGTCAAGTCACAGAAGGGTACCATAGTGGGAAAGGCATCATAGTACAGTAATGTAAAGCTATTTGTTTCATGAAAAAAAAAAATAATCTTAAGGTTATTGCTGGAAGAGACTTTCTTTGAGTAACTAAAGGCATAAGGATCTGAAATGTGTTCAGTAAAGAAAGATTACCTGTAGTTTTGTTGCTTTTTGGCATTCTCAAAGACTACTTTTGAGGTAAAATCCTCCCTAATAAATAAGTCTCTAATGAGTTAAAGTATACTTTATATTATGTTATGTATTCTGTCTTCCCTAAAATTCTGGAGCAGAAAAAAATCATATGTGCTGGCCTTCTGTTCAGTTTGTGATGTGCAGAGGTTTATATTTGACTGCACAACTGGGCTGAAAAGGAAACTGTTCAAGATTTGCTAACTGCTTGAAACTTGAATGCTTGAGAAGGTAACAGAGATGGTGTGGTGAAACCCGGGATAAGCAGCTGAGCTGGATGGTTCATCACAGTCTCAGCGATATTGTTTGTTACCTTCTAGGAGTGAGTTGTTAACCCACTGAGATTTGAGATAGTTGCGTTTCAGAGGTACTTACGGTAGACTTTAAAATAACTCTGGAAGCTGATGGGGAGGGGGAGAAAGCATTAAGTTTGCTCTGCTGTGAATTACTGTACATGCTTCTGCAATAAAATCCAATTGCAGATTCTATGGTCCTTCACTGCTTCCAAAGCAGTGATGTGTCTCATGTTTTTCTCCCTAGTTTTAGAAGGGAGTTACCTGATAAACTGTTTAATCCTTCAGAATTCTTCAAATGAGGTTGTGATTCTTAAGGTTTTGTTGCTGGTATGCTAGTCCGAGAAGTAGCATGTGAACTGTTTTTATACTGTTTCTTCCTCTTTGTCAAGCCACCTAGACTGGAGGAGATATAAGTAGTAGAGACTGAAGGGTGAGAAGCTTGAAGAAATGGAGCTAACAATTGTCTTTTGCCTAGAAACTGCCATTTAAACTTGATGTATTGTGCTGTGGATAGAGCTTTTCATTATTAAAGTACTGTATAATTAAAAAAATAACGCCAGTTGTTCAGTAGCCTGAGTGCACTTCTCTACCATGCTGTAGCATAAAATTACTCTAATAGCGAAATAAGAAAAATAAAATGGGGGGGGGGTATCGAATTGCAGGAGATGTTGGACAAAGGCCAGCTGAAAAGAAGTTTGTTTTATCATTTTTTATAGTATTGGCAACTGATTTTTCTACAGGTAGTGTGGATGAGTAAGGATATGTTATGTGAAGAGTGCAAGTTCTTTCTCAAGTGATAATTGTTATTATGCTCCCTGTTTGCAGATACCAAAGGCATGCACTAATCACTTCCTAACTTGCTACATTGGTACACAGCCAGATTCTATGTCTTTTCCAGCTGAAGAAAAGATCAATTAGAGGGTGATAGAGACTGTCAGACTGAGTCTTACTGTATTTTCCAGAGTGTCTCATTAAAAACAAATTTATAATACTATATAGACTATGTTCAGTGGTACATCATTGCTGATGCTCAGTCATGGATCACTTTTTACCTAAAACAAATTAGAGAAATCATTTGATGAAACACTGTTGTGATGCCT